GGTGGAGGGACAAAAAAAAAAAATCATCTGCTGGGTAGAATGTACACAGGTGGGAGTAATGGGTGCACTTAAAGACCAGACCAAAAGCTATTTGTAGCCCCCAAAGCTATTGAAATAAAAAAGAATAGCTAAAAAGAGAATAAATAAATAAAGTGAAACAAGATACATGAATAAGAATGTTCATTGCAGCAATTTGGTAATAGTGAAAAATTAGAAATAATCTAAATACCTATTAGCATCTTATATAAATACATTATGATTTTCTAATAAATGTGATATACTGCATTTAACATACATAAACTAGATCTATACTTATAACACGGAAATGCTTAAAAAGCAAAATTTGAGTTATAAGATGGAAGTTAAATAATAACATATACTAAGTACATTTTAAATACACTAAAATACATATTCTAAAAATGCAATATTTTAAAAATTATAAAATAATACTATATATTTTGTGGATGTATATGTGTATGTACACTCACATCCATAAAAATATAGTTATACCAACTACACACATACACATACACACACACACACATACACACACACACACACACACATTCAAAATGTGGGCCAGAAAGATAGACCCCCAAATCCCCAAATTTAAGGTGCTGATTATTTTCAGAGAGAGAAGAAAAGTAATATTATTGTATGGGACAATACTATTTAAGTACTATTTACGGACCATTTTATTTTTTTTCAAAAATAAAAGTGATGAATTAAATACGTCATTATGTTAATGTTTTTAAGGCTAGTGGGTGGTTACATTAATGTTTGTTATATTAGTCTCCACATTTTTTTAGTGTTTGAAATATGCTGTCTATTTTTAAAGAAGGTACTCAAAGACCTAATAGTTCCATTTCTAGTTATAAACACTAAAAGAAGTTGTGTCTATGAAGACATATACAAGGATGCTCACTACAGCATTGTTTACAATTATGAAAATTTGGAAATAATCACTATACTAGATGATACATCTATATTGCTAAGTATCCCAAGAATTTCATTTTTTAAAGCTCATTAAATAATAAACTATTTTACCTCCCACTGAAGCCAAAAGTTACTGTAGTCTAAATGTGAAGAGTTAAGCAGTGAAGCTTTTAGAGGAAAACATAGGAGAACATCTTTCCGACTGTATTAGGCAAAGATTTCCTACACCAGACATAAAAAGCACTAAATATAAACTAAAAATTGATAAATTGGACTATATTAAAACTAAGAACTTCTGTTCACTGAGAGATACCATTAAATGAATTGAAAGACAACGTTCAAAGTTCAAAAAAAAAATGTATACATGTTTTAAGAAAGGAACAAACTGTATTAAAGTAGTAATACTAATTATACTAAAGTAGTATAATAACTCAATATAGTAGTAATATTCAATATACCAATAACAAAAGAGGAATACAAGTCACGTTTGACATCTGCAATGACAAGAGGTGTTCAAAGTGGTTCCCATCAGTGTCCAGACACTTCTGATCACGGCAAACTACTACTTGAACAACACTGACCAAAGTGGCCCCTTGTATCTCTGAATGTGCATTTCAGTTTCTTCCTGAAGCACTGCCAGTTTAGCTGGTTTTCTACCATGCATCACATCCTTTAGGGTCCCCCATAGTTAGAAGTTAAGAGGTGTTAAGTCAGGAGAACGTGAGGGAAACTCAGCCTCACCTCCATTGTCCTTGAACAACTGTGCTTCCATCCTTTTCTTTGACTGTCCTGCCTGTCCTGTGGTGATGCTAACATTGATTTGATCAGCGCCATCTTTTGAGCAAATGTCATACTACACATTGCTACCATAGTTCAATTTAACTTTGAAGAGTAATACTTAGATAACATCTCTTAATTTTTGTTTTGTTTTTTTTGAGTCAAAGTCTCACTGTCACCCAGGCTGGAGTGGAGTGCAGTGGCATGCTCACAGTCTCTCAACCTCGACCTGCAGGGCTCAGGCGATCCTTCTACCTCAATTTCCCAAGTAGTTGGAACTACAGGCACACGCCACCAGGCCTGGCTAATTTTTTGATTTATTGTAAAGTTTCATCAAGTTGCCCAGGCTGGTCTCGAACCCTGGGCTCAGGCAATCCTCTCACTTCAGCCTCCCAAAGTGCTGGGATTAAGCACCCTGGTATTTGCAGTATACATGTTCAGCAAAGGACTAGTATCCAGAATATATGAAGAATTCCTATGAATAAATATAAAAGGACACATTCAACCCAATAGAAAAATGAGCAAAACATTTGAGCAGGTATTTCACAAAAGAGAACATCCAAATAGTCAATAAATATATGAAAAAGTGCTTAATTTGATTTGTCTTCTTGTTCTAGCTCCTTTAATTTGAAGCGTACACACCATTGTAGATCTTTCTTCTTTTCTAATACAAGTATTGTATATCACACTATAGATAACTATCTAAGCATTGCTTTAGCTGCACTTTACAAATTTTGAAATGTGTTTAAATTTTTTATAAGTTAAAATATTTTCTAATTCCTTTTGGGCTCTTCTTTGAAAGAACCAAGTATCATTAATATATATGTTAATGATACTTGTTAAAGTATGGAGAGGAAGACTGTATTCAGGACCATCGTGATAGGTATAGGGACCACCGCAATAGAATTTTGCAGTGAGGAAGAGATTGTGCTCAGTTCCTCAAACAGCATGGGCAAGTGGGTATTTATAGACAAGGAGCAGGGTGGGGGTCAGAGGATGGAATATTACCAGGAAAAAACATCGAGAGTAAAGGGAATCCTGGTTAAAGTGATGTAACAGAATTTTTGCTGAAGACAGCCCCTGGTGATGAGACACCACCTGGGGGATAGTGGAGCATGAGGAAGCCAATCAGATATCAAGTGTGATTCAGAGATCAGGGGTGGGAGGTCTTGCTAAACTGACTTAACAGAGTTCTTTGCTCAAACTGGGTTGTATAAGGAAGTGAACAGATGGGCTTAAGAGAAGGTTCAGAAGCCTATTTAAAGTTTGGTTGAGCAGAGAAGCTTTGTCAGAAAAGGTTCTTTAAATGGAAACATTTGGGGACTTTGCAGACATGCTTCTGGCATTGATTTTTAATTTTATTATGTTTTAGTTATAGAAGACATTTTTCATGACTTAGGTGTTTTTAACTTTATTGATAATTGTTTTATGGTCTAGCATGTGGTCTTAGCTTGGTGAATTTTCCATGGCACTTGAAAAGAATGTTTATCTTGCTGTTCTTGAGTATGGAGTGTTTTGTAAGTATCAATGAAGTCAAATTTTTTGATAATGTTTTTCAAATGTTCTGTATCCTTATTTCAGTTGCCTTTTTCTGTCAAGTACTGGGAGAAGTATGATAAAAATCTCAGTTTAAATATTTTCAGGTTTTTATAAACACCACTTTAGGCTTTACAAGAGGCTTGTTTATCTGTCCTTATTTGAGTGACTCTTGTTCTCTGTTGAATGCCTGTGGTCATAATGTAAAAATATTCTAATCCTGTGTGAAAATATTATGGGCATACTTCTGTTTGTAGCTCTTGTTGTTCTTTGTCTGATCTTGTGTTTTATACAATGCACATGTAACAAAATATTTAACCACAGACTCAAAGGAATTCTTACGCAGATTCCTTTTGCTCTTTTTCATAGTAGCTTCTTCTCTGGGTACTGTGCTTCACACATTCCAGCTGTTTAGACTTCCCAAACTCCAGTCTCTTTTGCTTCAACTCATTGAAACTGTCATGCTCTTCTTGGGACCTATCTCCCTGCCTCATGGTCTGAAAAGTGACTACAGGCAGAAATTTGGTATATCGTTAGGGGCTCTCTGTTTATTTGCTTTTCTCTCAGGGATCACACACAGTTTTGTGCTCCCTATTGTCCAATATCTGAGAACAATCATTTCTTCTTATTTGCCTAGTGAGAAATAGATTTTAAATTGTTGTCCTCATACCAGAGTATCAGAAACACTAGAATAAGTAGGTAATAAATCAGAATCTGTAGATAGCCAGTGCTCATCCTGCTCAGGGGTGCCAGGGTTCTGACTGTCAGCCCCTGCCTCAAACACCATTTAAGAGGTGGTTGGTGGGTGTTTAGGTTGACTCAAGAACAAGGTGGTCTTTGATGTCTACAAATACTTCTTTTTAAAAAATATGGACTTACATGGTTTCTTTCTAAAAGGAACAAGCTGTAAGTATAAAATATCTTTTATTAAGCAAGAAATAACATTTCCAATAACTGCAGCACTGTGTTCTGCTGGGTTAGTGATCTGAGAGCCAAGGAAAACTAAGTTGAGATAAGTTACATCTGCTTTTTCTTTGTGGGCCATCTTGCTGCAGTATGTTCCATGTTCTTAAACAAGTCAGGAACCTAATCCAAACGTAATCATTGTGTGGTTGAGTCTACGTGTGTGCATGCATGTATAAGTGCTCCTCTTATCAATCTGTAATGAGACTGGAAAACTGCCAATATAGGTGATAGGTCAGGACCCCAGTTGTTAAAATCCTTATGTATGTGTATTTATGTTTTATGAACAAAATATATAAGTGTACACATCAAACAATAATACCAATTTTTTCAAGAAGTCCACTGAGTGAGAGAAGCAGACTACCTATTTTTTTACTTTATACGAGGGATGCCAAAAAATATGCACATTTTAAGAGATGTTGTCTATTTATTATTTTAGTTCACTGTAATCAGAAGTGTCTGGACGCTGATGGTAACCACTTTGAGCACTTCTTATAATTGCTGAAGTCAAATGTGACTTGTATCCATCGTTTGTTATCAGTATATTGAGTATTACAATTTTAGTACTTTTTTTCATTTCTTAAAATGTGTATAGATATTTTTGGCACTCTGTATACATTTTTATCATTTGAATTATTATAAAACATTTCTTATATTGTTGGTTACATAAGAGTTTAGAACTGATATATTTTTCTGGTAAATAATTTCTTTGATAATTATATAATGAACATCTTTATCTCTAACATTTTTTTCGTAATGTATATTTTTACTTTCTTTTTTTTTTTCAGGACCAAGAGATTTATTAAAGCGACTGTTACAGAGGGGATCTGTAACAGGAAAAAAGAAAAAGAGAGAGTAAGAGAGAGAGAGGAAGTGGGAGAGAGGCGGGGAGAGAGATGCAGAGAGGGAGAGAGCGACACAGAGAGAGAGAAAGACCGAGAGAGCTATTTTTACTTTCTTATACTCGCCATTTAAATGATTTTCTTGCCTTTGATTTGATTGTGTATTTTTCATTTCTTTCATTGACCTTTAATTTGTAAATTTTATATTTATTTTCCATTTTAAAGTAATTATTCTTGAAATTGTTATGTATATTATTTCTTTGACAAAGTCTCTTTATCTTTTTAAAAACATCCTGAAACTCTAATTGTAAAAATCATTTTGATTTTTCTATTATCTCTATTTTCTTATTGTATATTCTCCCATTTTTAGCAGGATGATGTGTAGACTTATTCATGGCTTTGAACTTATTTATATATTTATTATCATCGCCAAGCTTGACTTTATGAGAATTGTTTTCTGTGGTGGCTTTTCTCCCATTTATTTATTTTTTTTAGTTGTGGAGGCCTCCCTTGTGTCTTTCTGAAACCTCCAGTGTACACTGGTCATATACCTAGTTTTTATATTGCTATCGATTGTTTGTGTTTCTGCAAATGTATATTGTTCAATTTTGAACCCAGTAATATAGGCTTAGGATTCTGATATCACACGATTGATTCTTTCCTGCCCTCAAACTAGAGCAGGAGGGCTATTTTAACAAAACCCAACCAGATAAACTCAGATATTCAGCTTTTCATTCAGCAAATTTTTGTCTCCCAGGTACCTGTAGTTATTAGCTCAGTTTTGTCTCATTCATGTAGGGTCTTGGGTCTAAACATCTATCTTCACTCAGGTCTCACAGTCTGAGGTTCCCCTGGGCAATATTTGATCCAGGTCAAATCACCATGGTAGCTCAATTCCATTTTACTTGTAAGGGCTCCTTGCTTTTGCTCAACATCTAGAGATTTGCCATCCTTGTTTCCAGGGGTTTGTATTAACATTTTTATTACTACTTTACCTGGTATATCTATATGTTAGAAAGTGGTCCAGCAACTCAGTACATGATTTTTAAAAAATCATATGGTCTATATTTTAAGTGTTTGACATGTTCATGGAGGTAAAGTTAACAGAAATTACTTACTTAAAACATTTTATTTTCTAGATCCTCATTAAAATTGACTTGTAATTTTTTAGGATTTGTGACTTATTGTTTATTAGACACATAGCTTCACTCTGTCACTGAGGCTGGAGTGCATCGTGTAATCATAGCTCACAGTAACCTTGAACTCCTGGCTTCAAGGGATTCTTTGACCTTGGCTTCCCTAAGTGCTTCGCTTACAGGCATGATCCACTGTACCAGCCTATAAGTATTATTAGTGTATTTTAAATTTTAGTTTACTATTCTCTATGTGTTTAAAATAGCTTTACTGTCTTTATTTGTTTGCTACATTATTGCTTAGGTTATACATTTTAAGATATTTTTAAAAAATTTTTTAGGATGAATCTTCAAGAAGAACTGGATGAACTTAAAGTACATATGTCTGTTGATAAAGCAACAATACAGGAATTGAATAGATGTATGGCCGAGAAAGGAGAAGGTAATTTTTTTGAGAAAATAAATATTTAGCATAGGAGTTTTTAAATTATCTAGTTATTGATGTTTTAGTTTCAATTTCTTTTAAAAATCTTACATTTTTTTCTCCCTTTTTTCACCACCTTACTCATTTATAGCTCACTAACATTTTTACCTATTATGAGAACATCAAATAGGGAGAACATTAAAAAAACCAACTTTGTCATTTATTATAAATTCTAAAGAGATTTTTGATAAAGGTAAAATATATTCATTTTTATTATTTATCGATAAAGTTTTTCTAGTTATGTTTGTTTACAATTATGTAGATAATATAGCATTATATTCAATATCAGTGATTCATTTATATTTTGGGTTGATGTTATAGTTTTTGCAAAGTCATTTAGTTCTCATCTGTTTTCCTAGAGTCAGAATCCTTACAGTTAGAAGGAAACTTGGAAATCTTCAAATCTACAACTTCCCTGATCACTAACCTGATAATGTTCAGTAATACGGAATGTTTCATTGCTCCAAATGCAAGAAGATCATTCCTTTCCAAAGGTTACGATAACTGTATTTATTATAAAACTTAAGTACCTCAATAGAAAAAAGTAAATAAGGTTGATATGATAGTATTTTTTCTTATTTTACCCACGACAACCTAATTATACCACTGTACTTTTAGGTTTTGACAATTTATGCTTAATAATTGGTTTTTATATACCCTTCGTTTGGGTTTTGGCCCAATTACTGTTGCTGTTCCATTTGTTCATACTTTGGTCCCTGGTGATTTGTCAAGGCCAGTATTTGAACCCTTCCATTTTACGCCTTTAATTTTCATCGTATTTTAAGCTTATTTCTTTATCAGCTTCTGAAACACTTTTCTCATTTTACCTCCTGCACTTGCCTGCATCTTCTCTGTCTCTTCCACTGAAACTGTTTTCCATTTAATCTTTAACTTTGGAGTTCTCTAAGACTTTATTCTTGGTTTACTGTCTAAAAAATGATGACTTCTCTTTTTTTGAAAAATTCTACACACTTACAAACATTCACGTAGTAAGAAAGGATAAAAATAAGAAACTACAGAAAACTAGCTCACAACCAATTAAAAATCAAAATATTTAATATTAATTCTTAATACAACCATATATTAATGGCTAGTAGAAAGAAGCCTAGGTGAATAGATTTAAGTATATAAAAAGTACTGTATGATATGCTATTTTTGAAAAAGATTTACATTTATTTATTTATTTGAAGACAACCAAATGAAAAGAAACAGAGGTAAAGGTAAATGAACTGTTACATTTTAAATAAATGTTTTACCTGCTTCAAGAAATATTAATTTATAAAAGTTCCCTCTAAGGTTAAAAGAAACGCTATAAAAACATTGAAGTTGGAATTATTCTGTATTTTGTAAAGTATATATTTCAATTTTAGGAGCATTAAAAATTAACATCTTACCACACAAGATGAAAAACTCAGTATTTTTATAAAATATTTTTTGTTTCTTCCATATCATGAATTTTGTTTATGAAATTATTTTTTAAAAGTATTATCAAGGTCTATAACTTTATATGTTATAACAACTTTCTCAGTTTTAAAGTCTAACTACTGCATATAATTGATTTACTACTCATCACATTTTTTAAAGCCAAGGTTTTTCTGTTTATGAGTTCTTTATTTTTATGTCTTTCTTGGTCGGCAGATGTAATTGAAAATATTTCTTTTTCTGGGAGGAATAGAAATAGCAACATTTGTAAGCCTATATGTTTGAGAATATGTTTCAACTTCCTTTATGTTCGAGGGATAAATTGACTGGGTATAATTTTATTGGGTTATCCCTTCTTTCTCTCAGAACTTTCTGTCATCCATTTTTAGGATGGACAGTTGCCATGGAGAGGTGTCTAATTTTCCCTTTTCCTACAGCAAGCTCTGCTTTGGGTGTCTTGCTTTTGCTGCAGACGCCTGAAGGTTTACTTTTCTCAATTTGCTAAAGCCGGGCTCGGTGGCTCAGCCTGCAATCCCGCGCCTTTGGGAGGCTGAGGTGAGTGGATTGCCTGGGCCCGCGGGTTCGAGGCCCGCCTGAGCAGCGAGACCTCATCTCTACAATAAATCAAAAAATCAGCCGGGCGTGGTAGCACATGCCTGTAATTCTGGCTACTCGGAAGGCGGAGGCGGAAGGATCGCCGGAGCCCAGCGGGTCGAGGCTGCGGTGCCGGGAGCGGCCTCTGCACTCCAGTCTGGGCGACAGAGTGAGACTCCGACTCAAAAAACAAAAAAAAACAACAAAAAATTTAAATAGAATATGCATTGATACAATTTGTTCCAAATCACATTTTTCTGGAATATCTATGCATTTTTATTTATTTATTTATTTATTTATTTTTGAGTGGGAGTCTCACTCTGCCGTCCAGACTGGAGTGCAGTGGCCGCTCCCGGCCACCGCAGCCTCGACCTGCTGGGCTCCGGCGATCCTTCCGCCTCAGCCTTCCGAGTAGCCAGAATTACAGGCATGTGCTACCACGCCCGGCTGATTTTTTGATTTATTGTAGAGATGAGGTCTCGCTGCCCAGGCGGGTCTCGAACCCGCGGGCTCAGGCAATTCACTCACCTCAGCCTCCTAAAACGTGGGATTACAGGCTGAGCCACCGAGCCCGGCTTATCTATACGTTTTTATTTGTCAATTAAAATCTTATTTTGTTCCAATGATGTTCTCTAAGGAGGTCAAGTTCATGTGTCCCTATTCTTTTTTTTTTTTCCTTATTGTATTTTAAACATGTGGGGCACAAGTCAGGCTTAAGTACAATAGGTGGTCTATGTGCTGGTGAAGCTCGAGCTTCCCACTGACTCTCACCTCCCCTGATTTAGTATCAGGAACCCTTAGTGATGTTATTTGCGCCCCCTTCAAAGATTTTTTTTTGAATATATTTTTTCATACTTTTCTATCCCATTTTTTATGCTGTAATTCAAGGACATTCTGTTGTCTTTATGTTATATTACTTTTTTGGTCTGGCCTTCGTATCTCTTTTCTTGCAATTCTCTGGTGTTTATTTTTTTCCTCTGCATTCAGTTTATTTCAAGACTTTCCTTCTTTAGTAATTCAATTTTTAGTCATGTAGATTCCTTCTTTTGTTCTTTCTGACACTTCCACTGAATCTGAAATGATTTTTTTTTCCTGTTCTCAATTTATTGCCTCAATTCTCCCAATGTTTTACTGTCTCTTTTCTGAGATTATATTTTATTAAATTCAGATTTTTCAGTTATTTTCTTTCTTTCTTTTTTTTTTTTTCCCAGATTGGATTTTAATCTATATTTTGTTAAATGCACAGTCTACTCCACCTACTAGAGAGTGTTCAATTCCAGAAGGGGTGACCCAGGGTTTCAAATTGTCTGGCTTCAGTAGAGAGTCTTGGATATAAGCAGGCATGGTAGTTCTCTTTGTTTTTTTCTGAGAAGCATTTCTACTGTTCTTTATTCCTTTCTGTAGTTCCATATTTCCATCTGGTGTTATTTTCTTTATGCCCGAAGGACTTCCTTTAATATTTCTTACAGTACAAATATGCTGGTGATGAATTCTTTCAGCTTTTATACACCTAAAAAAAAAATCTATTTTGTCTTTATTTTTGAAAAGTATTCTCATCAAGTCTAGAATTCTGCATTGACAGTTTGTTTTTTCTTTTAGTAGTTAAAAAGTTTTACTCCATTATCTTCTGACTTGAATTGTTTCCGATGAGAATTCTGCTCTCATTCTTATCTTTGTTTGACTGTACATAATGTGTTCTGTTTTTTCTCTGCCTGTGGAAACATGGACTACTCCTGGGCCTGTATGAGCTTTGGAGCTTGTTTCCTCTGATTCTTTTGGGTGTTTTCTTCCTTGAATTTGGGGCGTTTCCTCACATGCATGTGCTGATTAGCACTTAACTGAAGACTCGACTCGAGGGGGATCCTCTGTAGGTCTTCAGAACTTTCCCTTCACTGAGCAGACCTCTCCTCAATTAGCCCATTGCTTTGAAAACTCTAGCTTCTTTTACCTCTGTAACCTTCAGGGTCTGGTCTCCTTAGTTTAGGAAGATTATTGGGCTCCACTTAGGTTCCTCGTTTCTGTGCTGTGACTTGGAAGCTATCTAGGCAGAAGGCTGGAGCAATCATAGAACTCACTTCATTTGCTTGCCCCTCTCAGGGATGACATTGTCTTATGCCTGATATCTAAAAACCATTTTAAAACTATATTTTGTCTAGTTTTTCGTTGCTCCATGTGGAAGGGTCAGTCTGGTTCCTTCAGCTTGCTTTTATTTTTATTGAACATATTTTCCCTGGATTAAATCCAAAATCTATATGAATAGTGACCTCTCTTCATGTTTCAGGTATGTATTTCTTATTTCCAGCTGCTTGTTTCCTTCTGGCTATTTTTACAAGGATCATAAAAAGTTAAGTATGTCCTTTAAAAATTTATTTCCCTTTCTCTAAAATCAGTTCTACCTCCCCCATGAAGACCTTAAGCTTCCACCACACTAAAGTTCTCTTTACTGAAAATTACAATTCATAGTGTAATGAGTCTTTAATACAGTCCCACAATATCTCTGTCTAGAGCTCAGCTAAGCTGGAAAGAACTAATGTGCCAGGTGTGAATAGCTGATTTAAGAAAACAAGCAAAAATGGAAGTTCCAGTTGCCTTCAGTCACTTAACTGTGGTAGTATAAGCAAGAGACTAAAGAGAAGAAAGTACCAACCCTCCGTAGTCTGTTTTCCCCCATCTGTCAGGTGTCATCACTCATACATGAGATTATTCACTGCTGATGGAGCCCCAGACACAAGGCTCCTGCGGTTTTATGGAGCTGTGGCTTGGGGATGAGGGAAGGGTGGGAAACCCGGGGAGGAAAAGTATCTGGTCAGAATGGGTCAGAACGAGGACACGTGTCTTCGAATTTCCTGGCCCCTCCTTGTCCCTTAAGGAGGTTTTCTGCAGAGACACCTAAATAAGCCTCAACCAAAGGGCCCCAATAAAGAGGCCTCTGAATAGAGGCA